ATATAGTTCTGTATACTCTCGTGCTGTCACGTACCCGTGTTTGACTATAAATTCCGTGCACCATTTTTTATAGGGATATATATATATATCGTTATATTATGTCTTTCATTTTTTTTCGGTTGTTTATTGCTCAAAGGGTTGAGGCGAAAGAAATAAAAAACCAACGAAATATTCGAAGCCATGTTGTAAAGAAAATATCCAGACAATTTGTACATTTAAAATACTGTAGCTATATTTTAATCGGTATAAGTTTTAAACTCAGGTACGTCAACGATCATTTGAAGCGATGTCTAACATATATACATGGCCAGTCTGATTATTATTAATATAATTGTTTATACTACATCCATAGTAAACATGTAATTACGATAGGAATCACAAGCTGTGTATTTTCTTTGGACTATGTCGGTTATAAGCCAATACCACAAGTATATAAATGTGTAAAATGGGTTCAAGAAGCTATTGTAATTCGTTGAATAATATAATCAAAATTGTGCCAAGGTGCTGCGGCTGCGGTACGTAATTGATCGGACCACTCGTAGAAGATTCTAGATCTGATCAACTTCTCCTAATACGTAAGTGTTACGCAAAAATTTTATGTATGTGAAAAGTTCTCTACTCTAACGTTAATGTCTAAAAAGAGAAAATCTCAAAGTACGTACGTAAATGCATTATAAGTATTCTTTATAGGTATCCCTCACTCATTCAGCAAAAAATAGCACCCAAAGAGGACGTTCGAAATGTCAATGTTGGCACATCTTCGAAAAGTAAAGAAATAGCACCACCTTTCCAAAGAGAACCGTCTGCAGGTATAGTTTGTACCTTATTGATATGTTTATGTAAAAAAAAGCAACACGTCGGCGTAACGGCATAATAGTTTCTATGGAGGACGTTGAACACACCAAAGTTGTTCCATACATGGAAGTTATTTCAGCAACTCCAAGTATCGAAGAAATCAAAAATAACTGGAGTCGTGAACATGTTATTAATTTTCTGAAGTTTAAGAAAGAGAAAAAGGAGTTAGATGTCGAAGATCAAGATATCAAAATAATTGAGAAGCATAGAGTTAACGGAAGGATATTCCTTACTCTAACCAAAGAAGAGCTTCTAAAGCATCCCTATAATATGGTTGGTGGTCCGGCATACGAATTCACCCAACTGATCGAGACTTTAAAAGGTGAAAAAGGTAATAATTCTAATTAGATTATTGTAACAAACAATTAGAGTTATTACAGTAGGAATGCTAACTTGTTTTATACTAACTTTACAAATGACTTGCAAAATATCACGCTCTATACTTCTTAATATGAAGCAGAACAAACATATCAAGCACTCGATGAGCAAAATCGGTTAGATAGTACATTATTTAGTCCTATATTTATTTTACTTATTTATTTACTTATTTATTAAATCATAGGAATTTACATAAGATTGTAAAAGATGCTGTGATTGAAGCAATTAATGAAAAATCGTTTGAGGTGATTAGTGTATCAAAGCTAAGTTGGACTGAAATGAACAAAATCGAGAAAGCTTTGGGCCTTAATACTATAGCTGTATGTAAATGATTTTTACTAAAGAAATATTTTCAATATTTAATCTCATCTTTTTCTCTAAAGCTTGATGTCAGAGATTTTCCGGATACTTCCATCATAGAATGCAATGGATTTAAATGGGATATGGAAATGGATAAAGACAAACAAATGCAGGATGTCAAAGACTGGTTTAACAATGTATTAAATTTAGAGGAAGGTTATTCTGTCAAAGATGTTCATAAATCTACGAAGAAAGAAGTAACATTAGATAAAGCTCGTACTATATTACGGGGCGGATTTGATATCGTCATTGGCCCAAGTCTAACGGGATGTGTCTATATAGAAACAAAAAGACAATCCCAAGAATTAGAGGCAGAAGAAGCTCAGGCCAGAGGACAATTACTTATTGCAAATGCGAATGTTGCATTGGACGTATTGGTTGTGTTGACAGATTGTAACGACAAGTGGTTCTTTTTTTTTATAACCATGGATGAAGAAAGCTCAGTTGAGAAATATTACATCGTAACTGCATATATTGATGACCGTGGAAAGGCATTAGGTTTAATCAAAATTTTCGTTTTGGAACAAGGAATCCGACTTGATAAAATTATGGGAATAAATATCAGAAGTTCAGAAATAAAAGAGATAAATATTAGAGGGCCATTTTCAAAAAAGGCAAAGTTTACAGAAGATGTTGGATTTTGTGATGAGAGAATGTTAGATATGATTCCAGATATGACAGATAATGAATTACGTCGAATGACTACGAGATGGAGACTAAAGGCGCTTGAAAAATCAGTTCCTATCAGTGAAAAACCTATTATACAACAGTACATATCAGAGTATAGTGATGACTACGAGAATGATGTAACCTCAATGTATTCATGATTCCCATTTTAAAGATAATACACACTTTAGTCTATATATGATCTGCATTTTATATAATAAAATGGTCTGATTTCTGTTTTAATTGGTGAAAAATTGGTTTCGTTACTAATGATGCGAAAAAAAAACTTTCGAAATATACTAACCTTGATATTTTTATAAAAAAAACGGGAAGTTGTAATTAATCTGAGTGAAAATGTAAAATCAAAATTTGAAAGTGCTACCTAAATTCGAATAGTCGAAAAAAACTACTTATAATGAGAAATTTAAAGTATTAACAGACTTTTTTGTAGTATAGATTTTTTATATAATTTCTTAATTTATGCTATTTCGAAAATTTAAAGTTCGAAAGTAACTTACCGTGATTGTAATCAGCAAATTTCTACTGTATTCAAAATTCCTGATTCCCAGATTTCCATGTATTCATATAAAAATCAATTATCGAAGTTTTTTTTGACTATGTATCAGTACTCATAGTGATATGTGATTTTTTAAATGATTAATACTATTAAATATATATAAATACTATTATTAAAGAACATTTTTAGATGCAAAGGACGATTTTTATTGCTTTTTTCAAATGTTTTAACATAAAGCTAATCTTAACCATATTTCTAACAAAGTTAACATTAAAAAATTTTTCTTTTTCTTTTTCTTTTCGCCTTAACTAATTTTCATTCGAAATTTAAGTATTAACATAGAAGTGCAGAATAAAATATTTTAACGTTATAAATACGTTTAAGAATTGATGCATACCAAAACATTTGTAAAAAAAAAAAAATAAGGTAACTTATCCCCTGGCCAACCCCATCTACATGACTTTTTTCATGTACTTATTCCTACTGATAAACGTCATCAACTTATTTT